GCTTCTAAGGCAGCCAGTTCATTATCCATTGCTTGACACCAGCCTAGATGTTTGAGAGCTTGGCGGTATGTTTGTGGTTCAAAATGGGTAGAAAAGGTAGTGGAGAAAGCTTGATAAGAAGGAGAAAAAACATGATAAGATAAGCAATTAGCAAGTGAGAAAGGAGTACCTTGTATAAGACGTAGCTACTGAGGCAACAACTGGATGGAAGAAGTGACAGCCTTCTATTGACAATGATAATCCTACAGAAATTTGGGTGCACGATTAGTTCTGGTGGATTTGCGAGGGAGGGGAGGAGGGGGGGTGGTGGGGCAGGAATGGAAGATTGGTAGGATGGTGAGGAAATTGGAGAATGAGAGGGAGAGATATGTTGAGTTGTCTCAAGAGGAAAATTAGGTGGTGAAGGAGATTGTAATGTACTGGAAGGCAGAGAAGCAGGAGGGGTAAAGCTGAGTGCGATGGACAAAAATTAAAAGGTGTTGGTGTGATGAGAGGAATAGAAGGAATAAGAGATGGAGCAGGAAGTGAGATGCTTGTATTGAATGGAAAAACTGTTTCATGAAACACAACATCCCGAGAAATAAAAATTTGTTCAATTTGTAAATCTAATAATTTGTAGCCTTTCACAGCAAAATGATAGCCCAGAAATACACTTTTCCTACCTCTCGGATCAAACTTCTTTCGTCCATGGGATAAGGTTGAAGCAAAAGTAAGACAGCCGAAAACTCTCATATGATGATAAATGGGTGGCTTATGAAAAAGACTTTCAAAAGGAGTTTTATTATGAAGTAATGGTGTGGGTGTTCTATTTATAATGTAAACAGTAGTTAGGATGCAATCACTCTAGTATTTAAGGGGAATATTGGACTGGAATCTTAAGGCCCGAGCCACATTCATTATTTGTTGGTGTTTGCGCTCAACTATCCCATTTTGTTGGGGTGTTTCAACACAACTAGTTTGGTGGATAATACCCTTAGATTTAAAAAAATTTGTCATAAGGAATTCCTTGCCATTATCACTTCTAAACATTTTAATTCTGGTCTGAAATTGAGTTTCAATTAAGGAGTAAAAACTTTCAATACAAGATCTCACATCAGATTTATGTTTGAGCAGATAGACCCAGGCGGTCCTTGAGAAATCATCAACAAGAGTAAGGAAAAATCGAGAACCATCAATTGCAATTGTGGGGTTGGGAACCCAAATGTCATAGTGAACAAGATCAAAAGCGTTAATAGATTTATTTGTGGAAATGGGAAAAGAAAGTCGATGTTGCTTGGCCAAAGGACAAACACAGCAAAAAGATGTATTAGAAGAACTTAGGTTCTGTTTGACAAGAGGATCATCAATTAAAAGAAGCCTAGAGAATGAAATGTGCCCAAGTCTACAATGCCATAAATCAGAAGAGGAATGCTTGTGGGTAACAGAGGCACTAAGAAGCTGGTCTTTATGAAGAAAAGCTGGTAAAACATCAACTAAAGCTGAGGGTGACATGCCAAAACGCAGTAGGTGATACAGACCATGCCTCACTTCACCCATCCCAATCGTTGTCCAAGATGTTAAGTCCTATACAAAACATGAATGAGAAAAGAAAATAAGGCAGCAAGAAGCATGGAGAGCAAGCTTTTTAGCATAAATTAAATTTAAATTGAAAGAAGGGACACAAAGCACATTTTGAAGGACTAAATTCTCGGATAAGTGTACAACAGCAATGTGAGAAATAGGGACATCTGCACCATTAGGTAATTTAACTAAAGAAGATACAGTAGCCGTGATGGATGAATAGAGAGAGGGACAACAGATCATGTGATCTGTTGCTCCAGTGTCTATTATCCAGGGAGTGGTATGTGTTTGAGTTGATAAACAAGAAACCATACCAGAGACGTTAGAGCTGGGGACATGCTTAGAGGATGAGGAAGGCGGAGTAACAGACATGGTGGCCATGGTTGAACTGGTGTCCTTAGAGTGCAACAAAGCCAGGAGTTGATTATATTGACCCTTGGTAAGAGCCATAGTCTCAGAGGACTCTTCATCATGACCATCAGTAGAGCATGCTCGAGAAAGAGCAGTAGCAACAGCAGCAAAGTTTTTATTCTTGCCATGAAGCTTATGGCTAAGGGGGTACCCATTTGATTTGTAACATTTTTCAATAAAATCGCTAGTCATATTGCAATGGGTACACAAAGGTGGGGTTGCATTTCCTTCTTTGAAGCAATTCTCAAGAAAGTGACCTTGGATTTTGCAATGAGTGCAATATGGACGACTTGATTTCTGGGCTATAGAGTTATGAAATTTCTGGGCAGGTTTGGGAAAATTGGGGTTGATCTTAGCCATCATGGCCATGAGATCAGGATTAGAGGTTTGGGTAAGCATGAGATGTTGTTGTTCTTGCTGTTGAAGCATGGAAAAAACTCGGTTAAGGGGGGGAAAGGGTTCAAGAAGCATAATCTGATCTCTTGAAGGGGAATAAGAATTAGATAAACCCATTAGAAACTGTATGACACAATCACGATCATATCGATCATTTAAGATTTTCAGCTTGTCACAATCACACACAAGTATGGGGTCAAAGATAGCCAATTCATCCCATAAAACTTTTAAGCAACCAAAAAAGGTGCTAATGGAATCCTGACCCTGAGAGAGGCTAGCAAGATCCCGTTTGAGTTGAAAAATGCGAGAACCATTTTGTTGAGTAAAACGGTCTTGAAGTTCAAGCCAGAGAGTGCGAGAATCATCAACCAAAGCAAGATTGGTTTTAACAGAAGAACTTACAGAATTTTGAAGCCAGGAGACGACTAAATCGTTGCAACGTTCCCATGCTTCAAAAATTGGATCTTTGGCATCACATGGTTTAGAAAGGGTCCCATTAGTGAAACCAAGCTTGTTCTTCGCTCGAAGAGTAGGGCTAATAGCTCGAGACCAACTGACATAATTGTCAGCGGTTAAGAGATCAGAAACTAAGGCAGCAGCGGGATTGTCACCATTGTCGATGCGAAAGGGGTTGAAAGGATCTGAAAAATTGTGAAACCTTTCGTTAGGGTTTTTGGGAGGAGGTGTTTTAGGATCGGTATTTTCAGAGCTAGATTTGTTAGGATTTTTGGGAGGAGGTGTTTTAGGATTAGTATTTTTAGAGCTAGACATGGTGAGGGTTTTGGATAGAGGGGAGCTTTGATACCATGTAACAAAATGAAGAACAGAGAAGAATCTGATGTAACAAAATGAAGAACAGAGAAGAATCTACTGTAACAAAATAAGGAACAAAGAAGAATCTGCTGTAACAAAATGAAGAACAGAGAAGAATTGTCCAGGAAGATGGAGAGAAAAATGTTCTCTGATATATTTTTAATTAACTATACACAACTGTATATATACTATTACAAAGGAATCTTCTAACAACCTATAAAGGGGAAAATACATTATTGTCCCTCTGTACAACTCAGCAAACAGAAATGCAGAAAACAGAATGTACAGCAAACCAAATAAATAACAGAAAAGAATAATGAAATCATCCTTCTTCAATAGTGGACACGTTCCCTTTGTGTGAATGTGGTGTATTATGCTCCAATAGGTTTCAAATTCATAAATCAGAAAATCAGATTCATCAAACTGAAAGTAACATAATTTTCAAAAACTGAAACTGGAATTTTGCAGGACATGCTTATGCCTCAGGCATAGAATTTTAAATGTGAAATGAAATGAAGAACAGAGAGTTTTCAGGAAGAAATAATTTTCTCACTTGTATAGCTTTGTACATCGTTACAACCTTTATACAAGCTTAACTACAACTTTTGCTATTAACCAGTCTTCACTAATCATAGTTACTGAATATATTAACTATAGTTACATAGCTGGCTGCAATTAACACTCAAATAACTTGTAACTATACTAACAAATAACAATAAACTAACTAAGCTAACTAACAGCAGAAGACTAGCTAACACGTAACTAACTTGTAACTATACTAACAAATAACAGTACACTAACTAAGCTGACTAATAGTAGTAGACTAGCTAACACTCAACTAACTTGTAATTATACTAACAATTAACAGCAAACTAACTAAGCTGACTAACAGCAGTAGACTAACATTAGACTAAGCTCTAATAAAATGGCGTGGCATAGTCCATTCTAGAATTTTGTTGTTGTTCGAATTCTAAGGTCTACTGACTAACTCTAATTGTACAAATATAGCTAGCAATTCAGAGAATCAATCAATAGAACTGGGAACAAATAAAGAGAATCAGCAAAAACACAAGACACAACAATTATAGTGGTTCAGCTTTGCAGCCTACATCCACTTTCCAAGACTTATAGTATAGTATTCTCATTAATAACCAAAATGTACAGAATCATGAATAAATTAGAGAAGAAAACTTTACAAAAGGGAAAGAACACACCCAATTCGAAAACCCTAGGTTTTCTCCAATATGAGACTTGCCTTTCTTCTTCATCAATCGATGTTAAATACACATGCACCCTTCCTTGATCAGCCTCCACCTGTCTTCAATTTCTCCATAACCGTAAGATGAATAGCAATCTAGAAGATTCTTTTGGGGTCATGAACTATCGACGTAAAGAAAGAGAAAAGAGAAAACTGAGCATGAGAAATGTGATAGCTGAAACACAATATGCATACGGGTTTATCCAAAATGACGTCGCACTACTTGTTTGACTTCGAACACCAAAGCTGACTTCCACCGTGGCAAATAAGAAGTCACATCATCACAATTCTCCACCTTGGCTTCTTGATTTGTCACCCTATGTGGCCTTGGAATGCATATGTTCACTCTTGAACTTGAAGAAGGCTCATACGGAGCCTATGTTTTTCAACTGGAACTGGTTTAGTGAACATATCAGCAGGTTTGTGTGAACCATTAACTTTTTCAACCTTGCTTTCCCCTTTTTCGATCATTTCCCTAATGAAATGAAAGCGAACATCTATGTGTTTGGTTCTTTCGTGGAACACTTGGTTTTTGTAGAGATGGATTGCACTCTGACTATCACTATTGAATATTGATCATCATTGTTTGTTGTTTAATGCCCAACTTATTTGCAAGATCTTTCAACCAGGTAGCTTCATTTACTGCCTCTATCAATGCCACATACTCTGATTCTATTGAAGATAGAATAACCATATGTTGTAGCTTGGATTTCCAACTAACAGTATTTCCCCATAGAGTGAATACAAAACCAAAGGTTGACTTCCTCTTCTCCATATCTCTTGCATAGTCTGCATATGCAAAACCTTCAACATAGTTGTTATAACTTTGATTTTTCTTAAATACGATGCCTACTGATCTGATTCCCTTCAAATATCTCATAATCCACTTTAGAGCTACCCAGTGAGACCTGCCTGGATTGCTCATAAACTTGCTTACAAGACTTACCGTAAAAGCCAAGTCTGGTCTTGAACACAACATCAAGTACATCAGACTCCCCAATGCACTAGCATAAGGAACATCTGCCATCTTCAACTTTTCTTCTTCAGTTTGTGGGCTTTGCTCATGTGAAAGCTTCAAGTGAGCTCCAAGAGAAATTTGGACACTTTTTGCATCTTGCATGTTGAACTAGGACCTCTGAACTCTCATAACCCTTTGATACTACCCTTGCACTACCTCCATCACCCTCCTTCTCATATTTCTTTTTATTCTTCCTCTCGGGGCAATCTCTCCTAAGGTGACCCTCCTTATGGTAGAAAAACACTTACATTTTCCAGTTTTAGATTTTGACCTATGTTTATTCTACCCCCATTTTTTCCAATTTTTCTTCTCAAATCTTCCTGTGACTACAAGACCCTCACGATCACTCAATGTTTTTCTCTAATCCTATTTTCACTATCCTTAATTGAGATAGTCTTTACAACTTCTTCTAACTTCAGAGTTTGTCTATCATATTTCAGGGTTTCTACATAATTTGAATAGGTTTTGGGTAAAGAGTTTAATAGGATCACAACTTGATCCTTATCAGCAATCTCAACTGAGATGCTTTCTAGATCTTGTATAATCTTAAGGAAGTCATCCTTATTATCTTTTAGTGATTTTTGTTCATCCATCTTAAACCCAAATAGACTCTGTTTTAGTTTTAGAAATAAACTATTAGGAATAGTTTTTTACTAGTAAAGGGAATCTAATCTGCTCCATATCTCAGCAACAGTCTTTTCTTTCTTCACTTCTCGAAGTACTTTAACACCCAAGCCGATGATCAGTGAGCTTTTGGCCTTGGTTAGCATATCTTGCTTTTTTGCAGCAGTCAAGGTGTTAGGTAACTCAGCTTCCCCCTTCAGAGCTAAAGCCAAAACCTCCTTAATCAGCACTGCTTCCATCTTCATTTTCCATAATCCAAAATTGTTTTCACCTGTAAACTTTTCAAGCTCAAACTTAGTTGACATGTTTTTCTCACAGATTCGAAAAAAAACACAGTAATAGAAAAGTAAACAGCTAAGAAAACCCAAAACTAAATTGAAACATGAGCAAACCAATGAAACCTAAACTGAACCTTCAACCAAGCTCTAATACCAATTTGTTCAAATTCTAGGGTTTATTGACTAACTCTAATTGAACAAATATAGCTAGCAATTAAGAGAATCAATCAATAGAACTAGGGACAAATAAAGAGAATCAACAACAACACAAGACACAGCAATTATAGTGGTTCAGCTTTGCAGCCTACATCCACTTTCCAAGGCTCACAGAATGGTACTCTCATTAGTAACCAAAATGTATAGAATCATGAACAAATCAGAGAAGAAAACTTTACAAAAGGAAAAGAACACACCCAATTTGAAAACCCTAGGTTTTCTCCACTAGGAGACCTGCCTTTCTTCTTCATCAATCGATATTAAATACACATGCACCCTTCCTTGATCAGCCTCCACCTGTCTTTGATTTCTCCATAACCGTAAGATAAATAGCAATCTAGAAGATTCTTTTAGGGTCATGAACTGTTAAGGTAGATAGAGAGAAAAGAGAAAACTGAGCTTGAGAAGTGTGATAGCTGAAACACAATATGCATATGGGTTTATCCAAAACGACACCGCACTACTCGTTTGACTCCTAACACCAAAGCTGACTTCCACCATAGCAAATAAGAAGCCACATCATCACAGCTGTCTTGCTATCTTGCTTTAGTGCTGCCACAAAAGGTTCACTTTTCAATACTATCACAAAACAGATATGATAAATAATTTGGTTTCTGAGGGCCCCCCGAATGCATAAATACTAGTTTATATTTTCATAAAAGCTAACTGCATCTGAGAATCTCAGCAACAAATTAAACAAAGAAAAAAAAATATGAGCTGTCCACATATTCTTGCAGTACCTTATCCAGCCCAAGGCCATGTAATTCCTCTACTAGAGCTTTCACAGTGCTTGGTTAAGCATGGCTGCCGAGTCACATTTGTCAACACAGAGCACACTCACAACCGGGTCATGAATGATTTACACGAAAAGAACTCCATAGGGGGTGAAAATCAAATCCACCTGGCGTCCATCCCAGATGGGCTGGAGCCCTGGGAGGATAGAAATAATTTAAGCAAGGTAATGGAAGTAACTCGTAAGGTGATGTCTGAGAAGCTGGAGGAGCTTATAGAAAAGATCAACAGAGAAAAAGATGGAAAGATCATTTGTGTCATTGTTGATGGAACTGCTGGGTTTACTATTCCAGTAGTAGAGAAGATGAAAATTAGAAAGGTTGTCTTTTGGCCTTGTGCAGTTGCTAGTCTGGCCTTGTTTTACAATATTCCGAAGCTGATTGATGATGGAATTATTGACAAGGATGGTAAGAGTTAGAATTCCTCGCTCACTTTTATTCTTTTTTCAGAGTTTGATGGAAGAGTGACACAGTAGACTGTTTATTGGTTATTTTATTATTGAGTTTAAACTTTATTTTAAGTTTTTTTTCAAAATCTAAGTGATGTAACATAAAATTTATTCCAGGAACTCCGGTCAAGAAACAGATTATTCAGTTGGCGCAAAACATACCCAAAATCGACAGCACAAAGCTTATTTGGACCAGCTTGGGCAGCGAGGACTTAACCTCCCATAAGAGAATGTTTGAGTTACTATATAATAACATAGAAGCTAGCAAAGCGGCAGATTACCTAATCTGCAACTCTGTATATGACCTTGAACCTGAGGCTTTTACCTTGGTTCCTAATATTCTTCCCATAGGACCTCTTTTGCCAAGCATCCGGCGACATTCATCAGGATCCTTCTGGGCAGAAGACTCAACTTGTTTGAAATGGCTTGATCAACAGCAACCTCACTCAGTCATTTATGTTGCATTTGGCAGCTTCACAGTTCTAGACAAGACCCAATTCCAGGAGCTGGCGCTGGGACTTGAACTCACCAACAGGCCATTCTTATGGGTTGTGAGGCCAGATATTACTGATGAGGCAAATGAAGCGTACCCAGACGGCTTTCAAGAAAGGGTAGCTGGTCGTGGCCAACTTGTGGGTTGGGCACCTCAGCAGAAGGTTTTGAGTCATCCTTCCATTGCCTGCTTCTTTAGCCATTGCGGTTGGAATTCCACCTTGGAAGGTGTAAGTAATGGGCTTCCTTTCTTGTGCTGGCCATATTTCGCTGATCAGTTCATTGATGAGAGCTACATTTGTGATCTTTGGAAGGTGGGATTGAAGTTTAACAAAGATGAAAGTGGGATCATCACAAAAGAAGAAATTAAAAGCAAGGTGGAAAAAGTGCTTGGTGATGAAAGTGTTAAAGCAAGAGCTCTGGAACTCCAGGAAGCTGCTCTGAAAAGTGTCAAAGAAGGTGGCTACTCTGAAAGGAATTTTAAGAAGTTAATTGAATGGATCAAGGCTTAGGTACTGGTACTAGACACTACTTCGGTATTAAGGGATCATTGTTTCTGAACAAAATGTTGTTCCTCATATTCATTGTTAATCTTCAATTAATTCCTGTTACATTTCATAGGCCATGCTAAGTTTGAACTCAAAACCTTCTTTGTTATGAACTATGACTCAACATTAAGAAAGGGAAAGTAACGCTGCTAGGACTTTTAACTTCTTTCAAAAATAGAAAACCTAAGTTAGACTTAATAACAAAAGAAGGCATAATCCTGAGATTGTCCACAACCTGAAGTTGGCAAAAGAACTAATTTCGTAGAATTAATTGGTGGTATTTTTTCACAACATTTATCGTTAAAATTCACTTGCAATTTATATTCTACTGCTACTAATTGCTTTCTTGTGCAACGTGTGAAAAAATGAATTTATACATTTTATATTTTTTTAACGGATTCGTGACAGGAGAGGTTTCACTTATCACTAACTAGAGGTGTAGAAATTTGGTTAACGGAATCAAATTGCCTACTTTTCAAACCAAATCGATTTATTAGTTTCAAGGGATAATCCAAACCGAAACTGGATCGGATTATCTCTTAAACTGGTTACTAACCGAATCACATTATCTATTCGGTTACCGATTAATCGGTTTTACCGGATTATTATTTAATAGTTTCGGGTTAAAAAAAAAAAGTAAAAAATAGAATCACAAACCCAACCCTCAAGCCGCCAATTAACATTTGCCTCCACCTCCCTCTTGTCTTCTTCCTCTCCCACTGTCACCCTCAGACTCACACCTGTGCCACTCTTATCCAAAATCAAACATTCTATCATTGATTTTGAACATTTCAACAAAATCATACATTTTATTTGCATAATACTACGTATACAATAATTTTTTACAACATGACGTAGTAAAAGATAATTAACTAATTTTAAATTAAAAATAAATTTTTACCCAATCATCTTTTATCATATCATGTTGTATGAGAAATATTGTATGAAAATATTGTAATATTTCTCATTTTATTTTATTAAGTTTGACTCTCAAAATCTCAAATCAAATCGAATTACCCAATCCAAATAAACCCTAAAAATCAAAATTGAACAAAAAGCAAAATCAAACAGACCCACAAACCAAAATAATCATCAATGGCGCTGGCGTCGCTATCCAAGGCCACAAGTTCCGACCTGGTGGTGGTGGCCCGACGAAGCTTAGCAAAACCGCAAGCACAAGGCCATGCATTGAGACTCCCCACTTAGGTCCCAAAACAACAATAGAACAAAACAAGCATTGGCTTCTCACTTATCCCTCTCCCTCCCATGTTGCCTATAAAACTAAAATTATGAACTTGAAGATACAAACTGCAGTAAACAGCTAAATCTTTAGGCAAAATGCTAACTATCAACAGATATGTGCACCCTGCATGTTCTTGCTATGCCTTATCCAGCACAAGGCCATGTTATTCCTTTGCTGGAGTTTTCTCAATGCTTGGCTAGGCGCATCAGAGTCACATTTGTGAACACAGAGTACAAGCACAAGAGGGTGAATGCATTAGAAGAAAACAAATTTATAGGGGGTCAAATCCGCCTGGTATCGATCCCGGATGGGATGAAACCTGGGAAGTTATCGGCAGCACTTAACCAGGTCTTGCCAGAGAAGCTGGAGGAGCTAATAGAAGATTTCAACAGAGAAGACAGTGACAAGATCACTTGTTTTATTGTCGATGGGAGTATTGGATGGGCTACTGAAGTAGCTGAGAGAATGAAAATCCGGCGAGCAGTCTTTTGGCCTGCATCAGCAGCAATCCAGGCCTTGTCCTTCAGTATCCCAAAGTTCATGGATGATGGTATCATTGACAAAGATGGTAAGACCCTCTGTTGTTAATTTCTTGCTTATTCTCTAGAAACTTGATACAGGTCAAGTCATTAATCAACTGACTGAATTGATAATAGTATAGGGACTATATTTAATCAGGATAAAAGAATAATGAAAAGATGGCTCTAAACTTCTACTATATACAGAACAAATATATCCGCGTTCAATTCTTTCTTATATGCACTCAAAATACTCATTTCAGGAACATCAGTCAAAAAGCAGATGATTCAGTTGGTTCCAGGGATGCCAAGAATCAACACAGAAAACTTTTCGTGGACACGCATGGGCGACTTGGCCACACAGAAAATTTTCTTTCATCAAAGAGTCAAAAAAAATGAAGTATTAGAAAAGGCAGACTACCTATTATGCAACTCAACAATTGACCTCAAGCCAGCAGGATTCACCTTGGTTCCACGATTTCTTCCAATAGGACCACTTTCGGCCAGCAACCGCTAGGGAAATTCGGCAGGATACTTCTGGCCAGAAGACTCAACTTGTTTGAAATGGCTCGACCAGCAGCCACCACAATCAGTCATTTATGTTGCATTTGGCAGCTTCACAGTTTTTGACCAAATCCAATTCCAAGAGTTTGCACTAGGACTTGAACTCACCAACAGGCCATTCCTGTGGGTTGTGAGGCCAGACATTACTGATGATGCAAATGAAGCCAACCCAGAAGGCTTCCAAGAAAGGGTCGCCGCGCGTGGACAGATGGTGGGTTGGGCGCCTCAACAGAAGGTTCTGAGTCACCCTTCTATTGCCTGTTTCTTGAGCCATTGTGGTTGGAATTCTACCATGGAAGGTGTAAGCAATGGGGTCCCTTTCTTGTGTTGGCCATACTTTGCCGATCAATTCATTACTGAGAGCTACATTTGTGATGTTTGGAAGGTGCATGGGATTGAAGTTTAACAGAGACGAAAGTGAGATCATCACACGAGAAGAAATCAAGAATAAGGTGGATCAATTGCTTGGTGATGAAAGTTATAAAGCAAGGGCTATGGAACTCAAGGACATGGCCCTGGAAAGTGTCACAGAAGGTGGTCACTCCAACAGGATGTTGAGTAATTTCGTTGAATGTATTAAGTCTTAGTTTTTGTGTTTAATCCAAGTCTTCTTCTTCCAAATTTAACATCTCAAATAAATTTTATTTTTATATGATATTCATTTTCTCTGCTACTTGAACAGCCTTTCCAACATGAAAATCAGCAATGACACAAGTGATTTTTCATCTTCATCGACTACATGGTTATTCATCTCATGTATTAGCTCCTCCAGCTTCCCAGGCACGAGATCAACAATGGCTCCACCTCCCCGGATTCCATACCAGATGGATTCCATCAGCTATAGAATCCTTTTCCTGAAATGCGTTCAAGACCCTCTTGTGAGTGTGTTCGGTATTGACAAATGTGAACCTGAAGCCATGCTTAACCAAGCTTTGTAAAGCTAAAGTAAAGGAATTACATGGCCTTGTGCTGGAAATGGTATAGCCATAACATGTGGACGAGGACTACTCATTTTTCTGAAATTCTTTTAGCTGTTATATGAACAAATCATAGCTACAATACTGTACATACAATTGTTATATATATACCAGTTTGACAATGCTGGACTGCAATTTTTGGCCACACAAAAGTTTGAGGTTGCCTTGAATTTCTATGGAGAAATTATATTGGTCCCCATCTTTTATTTGGTTAACTTAATATTTTAAGGATTAATGGGATTAAAATGTTGTATTAAAACACAGAACTAGAAAATTTAATGCTGAAAATAACCAAACTAAAATTATCAATAATCTTGCATGAGAATGACATTTATTTAAAGTAACCGTGAAAAGCTACAGAAATTAACCTGTAAACAGCAGTGTAAAGACTTGAGTATAAACCAAACCTTGGCAAACAAGTCAACAACTAAACAACAAATTTAACAAATGGCCTCAACACTAGAAACAAATTGGGAGATTCCCCACTTGGTTCCTGCTAAAAATCAGTGCATAAGAAAACAATAAATCAAGCCTCGGCTTCTCAGTCCTCAATTCTTCCAGCGTTTCCCTGAAGAATAACTTCTTGTTTTCTGTACAATCTCTTGACATAAGAGATCAAATTCATCCGGTGTCGATACCGAAATGAATGGAACCTTGGGAGAATAGACTGGAACCTGGAGAACCAGGAACGTGATAAAGATCACTTGTATAACCTTGGGAGACCATAACTAAGTACACGCGTACTAGGTGAAGTATGTTTACATGAAGTTCAAAAGCAAATACGTGTACGCCTATGTTCAACACCGATAATTTCTACTTTGTTGGATCAGAAACATGATTGTAACTTCGCCAGAATCAATGGTTTGGAGATGGAATGCCCCCTGCTCAAGGCTAAAATATTGTCAAGAACATGACAATTTAGAACTTAAGAGTTCTGGTATTTGATAATTACTGTGACTAATCAGCTGATTTCATTAAGAGATTCGTTCTAAATGCCAGGAGCACTAGCATTTACACCAATCAATTCTCATTTAGATTAATGTAGTAATTAAAGAAAAAGTAAACTAATACGGTTAAAAATTTGATTAACCCAATGAACCAGAACTTAGTTTGATTTGACAATTAGGACCCATCAACAAGAAACTGACTAAATAAGTAAGAAGCCAAGTTGATGTCAAAACGGCAACAAGGTGAGATCTTTCATGAACAGGACTTAACACATGAAGGTGACCATGAAAAACAAGAGAAATCGATGAAACTGCTCAAGATCAGCAGCATAAACTCAAAAGGATAAAGCAAACCAGGGCAATTAAGTTAATAACAAAAGAACAAGTGTAACAAATGACCCGATCAAAACTAGAACGAGATTAGGAGATTCTCCACTTGAGTTTCTAAACATCAATGCACAAGAAGACAACAAATAATAAGCATTGGCTTCTCAGCCTTTCCACCAATGTTCCCTATAAAAGAAACATGAACTTACACTTGGAAACCACAACTAATTCATCAGCTGAATCTCTGAGGAATATTACAACCTACAAACATTAACAATGTGCAGCCCACATGTTGTTGCTCTACCTTATCCTGCACAAGGCCATGTTATTCCTTTACTGGAACTCTCACAACGCTTGGTTCAGCATGGCTTCAGAATCACCTTTGTCAACACAGAATTCAATCACACAAGAGTCATGAATGCGCTAGAAGAAAAGCATGCTATAGGTGATCAAATCCGCTTGGTAACGCTCCCGGATGGAGTGGAAGAAGGGGAGGATAGAAATGACTTGGGGAAGTTAACTGAAGCGATTCTCCGCGTCATGCCTGGAAAGCTGGAGAAGCTCATTGAAGATATCAACAGAGAAGACGGTGATAAGGTCAGTTGTATTCTTGTTGATGGGAGTATGGGATGGGGTGTTGAAGTAGCAGAAAAGATGAAAATCAAGGCGGTTGTCTTTTGGACTCCAGCAGCAGGACTACTGGCCATGTCTTTCAGTGTCGCAAAGTTGATGGATGACGGAATCATTGACAAAGATGGTAAGATCCTCACAATTCCTGAATCATCTAAGTCATCAAGATAATCCTCACTATTCTGTTCTCAATTCTCTAGTTTTGTATTCGCTTCAGGAACTCCAATCAAAAAACAGATGATCCAATTAGCTCCAGGCATGCCCACATTCAACAGCGCAAACTTTGTTTGGGCATGCATTGGCGGCTCAACCGCACAGAAAATCATCTTTAATATTACGGTTGAAAACAATGAATATCTGAAAAAGGCAGAATTCCTGATTTGTAACTCAACATTTGACCTTGAGCCTGCAGCATTCACGTTGGTTCCCCAACTTCTTCCAATAGGACCACTTTTAGCAAGCAGTCACCTAGGAAATTCTGCAGGATACTTTTGGCCCGAAGACTCAACTTGCTTGAAATGGCTTGACCAACAGCCGCCCCAATCAGTCATTTATGTTGCATTTGGCAGCTTCACAGTTTTTGACCAATCCCAATTCCAGGAATTAGCTCTAGGACTGGAACTCACCAATAGGCCATTCCTGTGGGTTGTGAGGCCAGACATTACTGATGCTGCAAATGAAGCCTACCCAAAAGGTTTTCAAGAAAGGGTCGCCGTGCGTGGCCAAATGATCGGTTGGGCCCCGCAACAGAAGGTTCTGAGTCACCCTTCTGTTGCCTGTTTTATGAGCCATTGTGGTTGGAATTCCGCCATGGAAGGTGTAAGCAATGGAGTCCCTTTCTTGTGCTGGCCATACTTTGCTGACCAATTTCTTAATGAGAGCTACATTTGTGATGTTTGGAAGGTGGGATTAAAGTTTAGCAAAAACAAAAGTGGGATCATCACACGAGAAGAAATCAAGAACAAGGTGGACCAAGTGCTTGGTGACGAAAGTTATAAAGAAAGAGTTCTGAAACTCCAGGAAATAACCATGGATGGTGTCAGAGAAGGTGGTCAGTCCAACAAGAATTTTAAGAATTTCCTGGATTGGATCAAGGCATAAGGGATCATATTTTGCAAAATGTAACAATTTGTTTTACTTTCTTAAAGAATCGACAAGATCAATTTTCATATCCTCCTTTAAAGTGTTAAAAAAATTAAAAAGTGTTTCTTGATTAGGAAGTCTCACAATGACATGAAGATGTCTTTGCCATACATCCAAAAATAACCAGGCAGTGAAGGATGAACTCTGAAAGTGATATGAGAAACAGCAAAACAGAGATATGGAAAGACAAAAGGAAACTAAAACAATAATCAAACGTTTCCTTAAGCCAACTTGAAAAAAAAAGAAGCGTTCAGCATCAGAATAAAATCAAGTACTAGACAAGAAGTAGAGTTACAGCCAAATGCAGGCCACCAAATCTTAGTTTATCAGTCAGAATTATGTTCAAGTGAAGCTGTCCAGCATCTGGCAATACTTGAGTCACTCTTCCACTGCTCACAAAATAGGTAATTAAAGTTTCTTCAAGTAACCAAACAAAGCATGTCCGAGATGTCGATGTCATAACCAAATGTCAGATTTCCGTCTGTCCTCGTCAGAACAATTTACTGTCAGTGCTTGACGTAATATGGCAAAATTATTTGAATCCAAGTCCAAGTAATACAGGTTTCCTCGTCTAATACCACAACCAATTGTTTGCTTTATTCGATGCTCTTAAACACACAACATTCAAGCAAGAAAATTACCACACAAGATAAAGCTTTGGTTAGTTGAGAAACTAACAAGAAGTTATAACTTAGAGATGAGACAACTAAAACGGAATCTAAATGGAAAGTGTATTTGAGAATTAACAATCTTTCTCGAATGACCTGAGTTAATACACCATTGACGGTAGAAACAAATTTTTGTGAGGATAATTTAAGGTGGGAAATCTATCTAGAATAAATGTCCCATGATTTGTAGCATCAGAATCACTTATCCATGCACCATTAGAAATAGGTGTACATATATTTGAGAACTTATCATCATTTCCTGCAGTTGCTACACATGTTGAGGACTACTCGGTAGCTTCTTTCTCTATCCGTGTTTCAACAGCCATAGTAGTACAATTTCTCTTTGAGTTCTTCTTCTGTTGATGACGACTATGGTCCCACTATTCTAGATACCCAACCAATTCAAAACATTTGCTTTTTGTATAACCTGATTTGTTGCAGTGAGTGCACCTTTTGTTAGTGTCGTTGTTGGTGTTGTTGGATCTTGTCTAGTCATGTCGACTCATATTCTAAGCTACCATTGTTGAACAGTCTGTATTTTTTTACTCTTCTTTCAAGTTGATATGACATACTACCTCTCGTCGAACCAAAGAGTAACTTTCTTCCTAATTTGGAACTAGGTCTTTATGCGGGATCTCCCCACGAATTTGTTCGAACTTTTTGTCTAACCCTACAAGAAATATATGCACATGTATTTTGACCAAATCCAATTCCAAGAGTTAGCACTAGGACTTGAACTCACAACAGGCCATTCCTGTGGGTTGTGAGGCCAGACATTACTGATGATGCAAATGAAGCCAACCGAGAAGGCTTTCAAGAAAGGGTCGCCGCGCGTGGACGATGTTGGGTTGGGGCCTCAACGAAGGTTCTGAGTCACCCTTCTATTGCCTGTTTCTTGAGCCATGTGGTTGGAATTCTACCATGGAAGGTGTAAGCAATGGGGTCCCTTTCTTGTGTGGCCATACTTTGCCGATCAATTCATTACTGAGAGCTACATTGTGATGTTTGGAAGGCATGGGATTGAAGTTTAACAGAGACGAAAGTGAGATCATCACACGAGAAGAATACAAGAATAAGGTGGATCAATTGCTTGGTGATGAAAGTTATAAAGCAAGGGCTACGGAACTCAAGGACATGGCCCTGGAAAGTGTCACAGAAGGTGGTCACTCCAACAGGATGTTAAGTATTTCGTTGAATGGATCAAGTCTTAGTTTTTGTGTTTAATCCAAGTCTTCTTCTTCCAAATTTAACATCTCAAATAAATTTTATTTTATTGATATTCATTTTCTCTGCTACTTGAACAGCTTTCCAACATGAAAATCAGCAATGACACAAGTGATTTTTCATCTTCATCGACATTGTTATTCATCTCATGTATTAGCTCCTCCAGCTTCCCAGGCATGAGATCAACAATGGCTCACCTCCCCGGATTCCATACCAGATGGATTCCATCAGCTATAGAATCCTTTTCCTGAAATGCGTTCAAGACCCTCTTGTGAGTGTGTTCGGTATTGACAAATGTGAACCTGAAGCCATGCTTAACCAAGCTTTGTAAAGCTAAAGTAAAGGAATTACATGGCCTTGTGCTGGAAATGGTATAGCCATAACATGTGGACGAGGACTACTCATTTTTCTGAAATTCTTTTAGCTGTTATATGAAAAATCATAGCTACAATACTGTACATACAATTGTTTATATATACCAGTTTGACAATGCTGGACTGCAATTTTTGGCCACAAAAGTTTGAGGTTGCCTTGAATTTCTATGGAGAAATTATATTGGTCCCATCTTTATTGGTTAACTAATATTTTAAGGATTAATGGATTAAAATGTGTATAAAACACAGAACTAGAAAATTTAATACGGAAATAACAAACTAAAAATCATAATCTTGCATGAGAATGACATTTATTTAAAGTAACGTGAAAAGCTACAGAATTAACCTGTAAACAGCAGTGTAAAGACTGAGTATAAACCAACCTTGGCAACAAGTCAACAACTAAACAACAAATTTAACAAATGGCCAACACTAGAAACAAATTGGGAGATTCCCCACTTGGTTCCTGCTAAAAATCAGTGCATAAGAAAACAAAAAGCCTCGCTTCTCAGTCCTCATTCTTCCAGTGTTTCCCTGAAGAATAACTTCTTGTTTTCTGTACAATCTCTTGACTAAGAGATCAAATTCATCCGGTGTCGTACCGAAATGAATGGAACCTTGGGAGAAGAGACTGGAACCTGGAAGAGCCCGGAACGTGATAAAGATCACTTGTATAACCTTGGGAGACCAGACTAAGTACACGCGTACTAGGTGAAGTATGTTTTACATGAAGTTCAAAAGCAAATACGTGTACGCCTATGTTCAACACCGATAATTTCTACTTTGTTGTCAAAACATGATTGTAACTTCGCCAGAATCAATGGTTTGGAGATGGAATGCCCCTGCTCAAGGCTAAAATATTGTCAAGAACATGACTATTTAGAACTTAGAGTTCTGGTATTTGATAATTACTGTGACTAATCAGCTGATTTCATAAGAGATTCGTTTCTAAATGCCAGGAGCACTAGCATTTACACCAATCAATTCTCATTTAGATAATGTAGTAATTAAGAAAAAAGTAACTAATATGGTTAAAATTTGATAACCCAATGAACCAGAACTTAGTTTGATTTGACATTAGGACCCATCAACAAGAAACTGACTAAATAAGTAAGAAGCCAAGTTGATGTCAAAACGGCAACAGGTGAGATCTTTCATGAACAGGACTTAACACATGAAGGTGACCATGAAAAACAAGAGAAATCGATGAAACTGCTCAAGATCAGCAGCATAAACTCAAAAGGATAAAGCAAACCAGGGCAATTAAGTTAATAACAAAAGAACAAGTGTAACAATGACCGATCAAAACTAGAACGAGATTAGGAGATTCTCCACTTGAGTTTCTAAACATCAATGCACAAGAAGACAAAAATAATAAGCATTGGCTTCTCAGCCTTTCCACCAATGTCCCTATAAAGAAACATGAACTTACACTTGGAAACCACAACTAATTCATCAGCTGAATCTCTGAGGAATATTACAACCTACAAACATTAACAATGTGCAGCCCACATGTTGTTGCTCTACCTTATCCTGCACAAGGCCATGTTATTCCTTTACTGGAACTCTCACAACGCTTGGTTCAGCATGGCTTCAGAATCACCTTTGTCAACACAGAATTCAATCACACAAGAGTCATGAATGCGCTAGAAGAAAAGCATGCTATAGTGATCAAATCCGCTTGGTAACGCTCCCGGATGGAGTGGAAGAAGGGAGGATAGAAATGAGGGGAAGTTAACTGAAGCGATTCTCCGCGTCATGCCTGGAAAGCTGGAGAAGCTCATTGAAGTATCAACAGAGAAGACGGTGATAAGGTCAGTTGTATTCTTGTTGATGGGAGTATGGGATGGGGTGTTGACACTACTTCGGTATTAAGGGATCATTGTTTCTGAACAAAATGTTGTTCCTCATATTCATTGTTAATCTTCAATTAATTCCTGTTACATTTCATAGGCCATGCTAAGTTTGAACTCAAAACCTTCTTTGTTATGAACTATGACTCAACATTAAGAAAGGAAAAGTAACGCTGCTAAGACTTTTAACTTCTTTCAAAAATAGAAAACCTAAGTTAGACTTAATAACAAAAGAAGGCATAATCCTGAGATTGTCCACAACCTGAAGTTGGCAAAAGAACTAATTTCGTAGAATTAATTGGTGGTATTTTTTCACAACATTTATCGTTAAAATTCACTTGCAATTTATATTCTACTGCTACTAATTGCTTTCTTGTGCAACGTGTGAAAAAATGAATTTATACATTTTATATTTTTTTAACGGATTGGTGACAGGAGAGGTTTCACTTGTCACTAACTAGAGGTGTGAAAATTTGGTTAACCGAATCAAATTGCCTACTTTTCAAACCAAACCGGTTTTTCGGTTTCAAGGGATAATCCAAACTGAAACTGGATCGAATTATCTCTTGAACTGGTTACTAGCTGAACCACATTATCTATTCGGTTACCAATTAACCGGTTTTACCGGATTATTATTTAATATTTTATTGTTAAAAAAAAAAAAAAAAGTAAAAAATAGAATCACAAACCCAACTCTCAAGCCGCCAATTAACATTGCCCCCACCTCCCTCTTGTCTTCTTCCTCCCCCACTGTCACCCTCACTCTCACACCTGCGTCACTCTTATCCAAAATCAAACATTCTATCGTTGGTTTTAGCACTTCAGCAAAATCATATATTTTATTTGCATAATATTATGTATACAATAATTTCTTAGGACATTATATAGTAAGAGATAATTAATTAATTTTAAATTAAAAATAAATTTTCATTCAATCATCTTCACC